GATCCAGATCAGAACATTGCCTTTCTTTCTTTCACTGACATGGGAACAGAGCTCAGGAAAAGCTGTCAATGGTCAGTCAAGTGGTCAGGAACAGGGCTAGAAGTTGGGTCTCAGCCCTTTTTCCATATGGTCACTTGGTGGTCATCCATGGACCTTATCACCATGGCCATCCATGGAGCAGTTGGTGAGGAAAACCTAAGGCTGAGGATTTAATGGGTAGTGGAGACCCTGGATAAGAGTTTTGGAGCTGGATTCCTGTCTAGAGGTTCTCTCCCTCCCACTACCACAAAGCTGGGCAGCCATTTAAACCGGCCTGCCTGACAGCCTGTGTGAACAGCACATTAGAAGCATCAAAGCAACATTTGGGCAAAAAAATTCAAAGCAACATCCGAAATGTTGCAGTTATTGCATAAGCTTGTGATTACTGAGTCGAGTAATTCTTTACTAGAGTCAGTGTTAACACGTGGCCTCTCACAGTGAAGGGATGTGCAAAACAGTAGCAAGCAGGTGCTAAACGCTCAGCAGTTTGCAAAACACTCGTGGGGTACATTGCCAAAGCTTATCTATATAGCTCCTTTTCCGTGGCTGCTATCAGCTTGTTCTGACCAGCATTGTAAATCACATCTCTAGTGATACACCACCTCATTCTGAATTGTGCAGTGCCAGAGTTTAGTCATCAGTGAGTGATGCACTTCCAAGGACTTACAACCACACAAGTTGTCCTGTAATTTAAAGTCACCCTGAACTGACAACGTGCCTTGTCTGATAAACTTCGAATTGCTCTAACTCTTATCTTTTTTGATAAAAGTTTCTAGAGACATGCTGGTATCTCAAGCACTATAAAATATGTCTATATTTTGGTGTGTCTCTAAATAGAATGGCCAAGCCACTTTCAGGTCCATGACAGCCCAGATTACTGCTGGCTTAGGTCTCACAGTGTTCCCAAGACCAGCAAGTTCTGATCAGTTCCCTGTCCTATCAGACTTGAGGCATTACTGAAATATAAGCAGAACAGTCAGTTCACAGTAAGGAAAAACCATCCTTTCCAAATAACCAGACCCCAAACATGCTGCATGACCCACAGCTCCAGCTACAATTGCAACGTGCATTTCACGAGGTTTTCTTCCTGGCCTTCCTTTTCTTTTGGAGGTTCACAGTAGTTAATGAAATCTCTTTGTAAATGCAGCACATTCATTCACAAGGCATTGGGGAATTCTTACTTCACACTGGTTAAACAATTCACTGATTTGTTTACAGAAAACCTGTGCCAAATAGCTGGACTGTTGTCATGAACCCTCACCCAGATCTTTTTTATAGCAGTTACTAGAATGTGATGCAAAATTAAATTAAACTGCATTGAATGAGTTCCTACCAAAAGCAGAAAGACAAATTCCACGTTACACCAAGCAAATGAAATTTGGACAAACAGCTCTTTCTTGTGGATGAAAGACAGTTTTACACTGGGATTTACCACTGATTTCCACTGGAAACACAAACAGCTACTAGCAAATACTATTGCCAGCTGTGTTAGTGTGCTCTGATACAATACACACGGAAGGAGTAAAGACAGAACAGCATTTGGTAAGAGTTGTCCTATTTTTGTCCATCACTTGGCTCATACTGAGTCATATTTGCTATCATTTTCATGCAGAATTATCATGCCTGAGATCACGGTAGTTTTCAGTGAAGAAATACTGATAGAACACAAATATTTGCAGTCCCTGGCACTACAAGTATGAGATTTAGATTGGGGGGATTAAAGCAAATTTCCTCTAATAAATGCACATGATAGATCACCCTAAACTCTCTCTTCCCCTCAAAGCAGAGGAGCACGTGGAAGAGGAGCGCTGAGCCTTTTGCACAGGCTCTGCCGAGCAGGTATCACATTTCCCCAGGAGCAGGGCAGCTTCTGCAGCAGCTCAGGGCTGTAACTTTCCACTGCCCAGCCGGCTCCTCGCTGTGCCCCAGGCTGCCCTGACCTTTCCCAGCGCTGCCCCTCGCTTTGGGCCCTGCACATTCCAGCAGCCAGGGGAAAATCAGGAGTGAAATCGCTGGGACAAAGTGAAAATTTGAGTAGGAGAGGAAAGCAGGAGTGAGGTGGTTTGCTACACGGCTCCTGCTGCAAGTGAAAGAGACCCTGACCCGATTTGTAGAGAAGTTTGTGTTGCATTCACTCTAAAGCAAAGAGAATCAGGCTCTTAGGCTGGTATTTTGTCATAAACACAGAGAACACTGAGAACTGGCATCTTTTCATCACATCTCTGACCTGACACATGTGGAATCTGAAGCTGATTTTGCAAATTTGGGCTCTAAATATAAAGGAATAGCAATGTCTTACCTCCACACAGCTTTTTTAAATAACCTCACATGTTTTTTAAAAGACAACTCGAAGAGGAAGGATACACATCCTTCTCCCTTTCCTGTTCTTCCTACCACCAAGCTTTCTCTTTTGACCTGTGAGAAATCCAGCTCCTGCTCCCTGTCCTGCCAGACCCCCAGGGACAGCAGCCCCTGCCTGGCACTGATTGTACCACACAGAGGGTTTGGCTCCTTTGCTCTATGGTCCTTGTCTCCCATTGTGTTTTATTCAACTTTTTAAATTTTTGTAGGAGAATGAATGTGTTTTTCACAGCTCTCAAGTCCAAAACAAGAGAATTGGGTGTCTGCCTTGAAAAAATGCTCTCTCCTTTGTGATCCTTTACCTTTCCTTCTGCCACCTTCCAACATAACAAACCTTCCTCAGAAGCACAAAGGGCTGGACCCTGTGCTGAGCTCCTTGAAGGTTATAAACTCTAGGAGCAGAGAGAAGCCTGACTCTGAGTTTGCTGGGCTTTCAAGGCCAGCTGTCTGTTCCCTGCTGTCCTGGAACATGGAAAGGGGTGGCAGTGCCACAGGAGGCATGTGAAAGACCTGGCTGGGTAAGCAGGAACAGAAGCCATATGAGGTCAAAGGAGGAGCTTGCATCACTCCTGTACTGGTGCTAAAAAAGCAGGGCTGTACAGTCAGTACAGAAAGCAGCAAAAAATAAAGTGCAAGTTTCATGGTAAAGGGCTGGAGGAGATTGCTCCTAATGTGCAGAATATCAGGGAAGACACAGACAGAGAGGAGGGTTTGATGCAAAGATCCAAGAGGCTGTCCCAAGCTTGTTAGGCCCTATAGATTCAGCTTTTGTTTAGTTTTATTGACAGTAGGAAAGTAAAAGATTAAACTTTAACATTTTACCATGACCAGTGGGCTCCCTTCACTGTGTTCTCAGACAAAAAACATAACCCTGAGAGATTAATTCCATTATATTTTAGTTACAACCATGAATGTTTCACTCAGGGGGAACAGCACCAGACCTCCTGCAATCCAAGGCTCTACCATCCCTTCTCTCCAACAGAGTTCCTTTAGGATGAACAACACCTGCCAAAACCCAGAGTTTTGTCTCTGGTGGAACCCTTGCATCCAGAACAACTTTCCTTGTTAATGATCCACAGTAATTGATGAACTCTGTATCACTAAATTCAATCATTCCCATAATGCCCAGAAGTATTGATTCTGTTCTAAAGGCATATTTCCACCACTGACAGCAATTTCTGTTCTATACCAGCATTATCCAATCATCTCTCCTCCCAAAGGAGGTTTTCCTTATCTTTTAACCTCGTGACTAAATGACAGAAGGTGTTAAGAGTCATCCCAATTGGCTCTTCATATCCTCCTGCAGCATCTCAGCTCCTCTCCATCACAATGTCCTCTGAAGACAAAAAAAACCTTTGTGCTGACTAATTTAGGACAAAAAACCCTTTGTGCTGACTAATTTAGGTCAGCAATTGGTGACTGTTACTTCTTTTCTTGTCTCAGCAGGATGAAAGCCTGCTAAGAGCCACGAATCCTTCTGCAGGTGATTTTAGGGCAACGGTGGAACTTGGGGCCCTGCTGCTGGAATTCAACAGAACCTGCCAGTTCCTGTCACAAGGAAATATTTACTATCACCTTGTCTTAATTTTAACTCACCTGTGTTGGGAACGAAAGCAAGACAACTGTGCTCTGCATGGACACAAGCCCATAAAGCATGGGATTTGTATAAAAACCTCACAGATATAGGCACACATGGTATATGGAAGCTGTGGGACTTCTGCCAGTTCTACCCATGACAGCAAGACCGAAATGCAGAGGAACAGAAAATACATTTGGAATTTAGGAGAAACAAAATTATTAGTGAAAAGTACTCCCCATTTGTATAAATTTGTTAAAAAAACATTGCTTTTAATTCACTGGGATACAGTAGGAGCTACTAAAATATGTTTGTATAAACCTGCAAATATTAGATCATCCACAGCCATTTTCTCCTGATTCCAAGAGGCTGCAAACAAAGTGAGTCTAGTACATTAAAGAAGGTAAAAGTTTGCTTCAATCCTAAGCAGCAGTTTCCAGCTTGCCCAGAGTAAAAGTGTGTTCTTTTCTGCCACCAATACAAAGTAGGTTAGATTTAAATTCCAGTCTACAACACTCCCCACTGGAGTGAATCTAACCCAAATTCACAGCCTTTTGCAGATGACAGAGTGTAAGAGAGTAACAACAGCCATTAAAAAGGGAATAAGGAGGAACACAAAACCCAGGAGCTTCTTCTGGTTTAAAAAATGAATATGTGAGATGTGCCAGTGTCTTATGGGAAACATTTTCAGCCTTGCTCCTGATAGGAGCTGGGGACACGGAGCTGCAGCAGTTTTGCCCCTCTCAGGCTGTCAGACACAACTTGACATCTTTCTAACAACAACACATATATTAAAAACAAAACAATTTTGCAGCAAATTCCAGCAGATTTTGAAGGGAAAATAAAGAAATTAACAGCTATACACAGGAACAAGAATGTTGGAACCCAGCTGACTTCAAACAAATTACATGGACAATTATATGCTTGACTTGCATGAGTCACTGCTCTGATCATAGTAGCTGTACTGTTGCAATAATTAACTATTTTTCCTCTCCATGAAAATTCATGTTAACTGTGCACTTACTGCAGCTCGTTTTCCCAGGCATAAGAGTCAGTCACAAAAAAAGCAAAGATGATTCTTTGGGGCATTTACCTGCAAGTGAAGAAAAAATTGAAATATTAAATTGAAATATTAAAAGGCTGAGCATTTTTCCTATATTATTTAATCCACCTGTTCACACTTGGATAAAATTCTGCTTTGCTGAAAGCAATACTCGTTTTGCTTAAATTGATATTTGCACTTTGAAGTACAACCTAAAATCAAACTAATTTACTGTATTGATTTTTGTACCTGTACTTGTGGCAGGTAACATGTTTTTATACACACATATGCATTTAGATAACTCAACATTCAAGAATTGTAATATCCCACCCAGACAAGTTTTTAAAGTATACACAATTAGATCACTAACTACATGTATCAAAACCAACACAAAAATATTTTAATAGCTGCTTATACAGTATTTTTAACCAAAAAAAAATCTAAAAGCCCTTTGTAAATAAGGAAAATACCTCCCTCCTGGACAGGATAAACTGGGTTTTACTTGAAGCAGACCCAGAGAATCCTCATTTCTAGGCCAGGTGTGTCTCCTTCATCTGGGAATGAGTTGTTGAGTGTGGAAGAAAGTGAAGTGTCTGGATCCTTAAACGTGATACCAAAGCATATAGTAGTCTAAATTGTAAAGGGTTTGGATTTTTTGTTTTGTTTTCTTTTTTGTGGGTTTTTGTTGTTGTTATTTCTTGGTTTTTTGTGGGTTTTTTTTTTGTTTGTTTGGGGTTCTTTGGTGGGGTGTTTTGTTGTTTTGGTTTTGGATTTTTTGGTTGGTTTTTTTTTTTTTTGTGTAATAATTTCTTGGAGTTGCTCCCTTTGCCTAGAACAACCATAACTAAAAGGACACTGGAGCATTTGTGGATCTGCTCTTTAAGCCCTTGAGAGATAAAGTAGTAAAAACCAGCAGAGAAAGAACAAATAATATTTGTGATCAGAATGTACAGCAAATGCATTAAACACACCAGCCATAACACTGATGATACTGAAACAAGCGAGAATCGAGTGTGACATCCGAGCCTTACAGAAACCCAGAAAATACAATAGCCCATTATGAGGCTGTAGGATACAAAGAGGGTTCAGCTAAAAGGCCTTATTTAACCCTGCACTGAGTTAGGCTGGAGTCTCCCATCCCAGCAGCTTTATAACTCCAGGCTCAACAAGGGAACAAGCATCAGAGAAAACCCATAGGGAGAATGTGTTTGGGGGAGTTATATTTAATTAGAAGTGATCACGACATACACTGTAATTAGGAATTATTATAGAAATAGTAACAGGTCTAGACAAACCGTGCTCACATTCACCATCAGCCTGGATGTTCCACTCTGTTAAAACACGACTTGACCTACCTGTAAAACAAAATGTTTTTAGAGTCTAAAAATAGGGATAAAGATGTAGGGAAGGCAGGAGTGGGAAAGGGGTTAATGCGTGAGTGTTTAACACTAGTTAGCACTTACAGACATTAAAAAATAAACAGCATTCTGGTTCTCTCCCGCGAGGCACTGCCTTCCCCGCACTGCAGGCTCGAGTCCTCCCCGGCCCGGAGCTGCCGCAGCTCCCAGCGGCACCAGTAGATGGCACAAAGCATTTATTTCACTGCCACCGCCACCAGGGCACCTGGAGCAGCTTCAGGACAGCGCTGGGACACATCCCTCTGACATTACAGCTGTAATCGTCAAATAATAGTGTTCTAAAAACACTTAGAATATATATATAGCACTGAATAAAAATTATATTAGATGTATTGTATGCTTTCAGAGGTAAAAGTGAATATAGATAACCAGGAGAAATACTAGACATCAATTAACATTACAATTATCAATTACAGCAGTCGCTAAAATAGCCTATGACTCAGAAAAAAAGAAAAATTAGAAGTATAGAAGTAATACAAATCAGGTTAAATTTATAAAAAAGCAACTATTTTTTTTAGAATTAAATGAAGATTTAAAAGAAACAACAAACCTGTCAAAAACTTTATGAAAATTTGACAAGGAAAAAAAAGGACTAAATATCTGTCCAAAGCAAAAAAAATGAATAGTTTATGATCAATCATACACTATCATCTATGAAATTAAAGAACAAGTAAAGTAGACACAAAAATCGCATTTATTATTTAAAAAAAACAATATACACACTCCCAGAACAGCTGCTTTGTTGTTACAAATATGTTGGGAAACCCCAGTTCCTGGAAAGAGAACAAAAAGGGAATTACACTGAAATACAGGGCTGGGGAAGCAGCTCATGCTCTGTAAAGGACAACACTTGCTCCTGTACAGTTTTGACAAAATTCCTGGAATACTACAGCAAGAAGAATCAGGCTGCCTGACTCCATTTTTCAAGTTGCAAATATAACCTATAGCTACCTAATTATAGGATTTAATGATACTTAATTTTGTATTTTCAGAGAAATATTATGACATCATGTCATTTTACAGGGCAAACCACTTAGCTTAATAGCTGCTATTCACTGCAGAAGCACACATTAAAAGCTATGCAATCATATGGTAAATTATGCTCATATCTCTTGGTCAAATTACAGCTTAATAACATGAGAAAAACTGTAAATAACGTGAAGATCCATGGTTTAATTATTTTAATAGAAAGTAATGTATCAAATAATTATGAAAAATAAAGAAGCAGCCAGGTCTAATGGGCTGGAATATCCAAGCAACGTTTTTCTGCATTAAGCCAGGAGCTCCTGGACCAAAATGTTCATAGTAAGAACATCTTAATTTTCCCTCCAATCCAGCACAACTGCAGGCAGGCAGAGCAGCAGGCAGTGTTTGCTTCTCCCACCCCTGATGGGACCCAGTGGTTGTGCAGATCAGCTCAACAGGTTGTTCTGGAAGGCAGATTTGGGTCTGGCAGGTTTGTTCTCTGCTTGCCCAGCCCAGGCTGTGCCACGTGCTCAGATGTGGGCCAAGGGGACAGCAGGGAATGTGCAGCCAGGAGTGGGAGAGCTGCTCCACACCAAAGCCTGCTGACCCCAGATTAAGGGGTAAGGCCCAGCTGATTAAATTTGGGAGAATTCAGTCAAGGGCATTTGACAAGAGAAGGTTTGGATGGCAACAATTTTACAGATAAACCCAGAAATAACAGACATGCCCACCACTGTAAAGAACCCTCATTAGCACAGCTGCATGACTTAATGAAAATTAGTGTCTTGTTCCCAAAGCAATGCTGTGACAGCATCATTTTGCAGGGTAAATACCCCAGTTTTATTGCTGCTATGGACAGCTGGGCTGTCTGCCTTAATTCCTGAGCAGCTCAGGTATCCACAAGGGTATCCAGGAGAAGGTGCCTTAATTCCTGAGCAGCTCAGGATATATATATATATATAACCACAAGGGTATCCAGGAGAAGATGTCCCTGCCCAAGGCAAGGGGCTGGAACAAGATGGGCTTTAAAGCCCTTTCCAACCCAACCCATTCTGTGATTCTGTCTGGGAGTGAAAGGGGAAAAACATCTCTTGAGATTGTTGACCACGTTTGCTGCTAGAGAAGTGAGACTCTAGAGAATCTGGTGGTGGCAAATATCAGTTGTACCCTTTGTACACAAAGATTTTGAGCTCCTTGTGCCCTTCTCACTGCACATCACCTTAAAACTCACCATGGAGAAGGTACAGACTCATGGAATGGAATTGCTCCTGCTCTGAAGGGCTGGTTTGCTGAGGAAGGCAGCAATAGAAGTCTTCACAGTTCTGATCACCTCACAAAGCACTGAGGAGGGAATCAGAGATAGAGTGAACAGGAAGCCAAGACAAATATCCATCTGTCCCCAGGACATGTGAATGCCCTCCTGCCTGAAGCTCTGTGCTGCCTCTCCACCTCTCTCACAATTTCTGTAAGACATTTTTGCTGAAATGAGCTGCACTGAGCACACCTGCTAGTAGAGTTGTTTATAGTCACCCACCTCCATTTGACTTGAACATATTAGAGAAGAATCACAGAAAAAGCTTAATTAGCAGTTCTGGGGAAAAAAAGAAAAATTAGTAAGAGGGATTAGTCATGTCTGTAACCAAGACGGAACAGCACTGATAGTCCCTCATGGTGGAAGCTGGCAACAGTCACTGTGCTTACCCTGGAGATAAGAGAAATGTGTTTCCAGACTCAGCAAACTGTCACTGCTCCTCTCCAAAGCAGCACGAGGGTCACACAGGGCTGAGGTTTCACTTCTAACCAGGCATCCTGTCAGTGGTGATTTCCTGAGGGGACAGAAAGCTGAGCAAAACTGAACCAGCCAAACTGGGCATCTTCAGGAGGCAAGGGAAGTGGTAGCAGTGCCCATTTCTCTGATGGCTGCACCAAGAGTACCTTTGCATCTCATGAGGATGTCCATAGAAACACAGAATGGGATTGGAGCATGGATAACCTGAAAGCACTTCCAGTACAGGAACAGCTTTGCTAGGCCTGCACTGGCATTATAACCCCAGATTTACAGGGCAGACTTGGAATTTCACAGACCAAGATCCTAACACTGCTGACAGAGAAGCAAATCATTAAACATCAACATCCCTAACCCCTTACTTCAAAGTGCAAGCTGGAATTTTGCATCAGTAATAATCCAAGGGCATATTGGTAAAACAAATCAGATTTTTTTTTTTTGTTTTTCTAACGCCACAAGGAGGCAATTGGGAAAAGGTTTGCACAAAACTCAAATCCCATTGTCAAAAGAAGAAGGAACATGCTGGATCTGAAACAGGCCAAAAAGACAACCTCAGCAGGAGACAGGAGGAAGATTAACAAGTGAAATTGCTGTTTGACAATGAGTGTTGCTGAGATGGAAAGCACAAAGGACTGGCTGACAAAAATAATTATTACATTCACAAGTGTTTTAGACGCAAGATGATGGAGCTGATGATTTCTCTCAGCTCAGCAGTAAAATACTCCTGTTGGCTGTTTAATTGCAAACCTGGCTGAGCAGCCCCCTCCAGGACACAAATGTCATACATTAAGATTTACTGGGAAGTTTTCTTCCAGTACAAGTCATGTAACTACTATCCTCCAAAAACTTCAGTAAAATTCTCTTTATTAACAAAAGAAATATGAACTACACTGCAAAGGGGAGTTAGTTAAAAAATAAAAGCTATTCTAGGTCTCTGAGAAGACTTTAGAGGTTCCTTCTCCCAACACTGGGAGACAGAAATAGGCATATTGAATTTGCAGATTGGTCAAGGTCCAAAAATTTTCCAAGGTCCTTAAAATTTTATTTTCTGGAGGCACAAAAGACACAGCTTTTATTGCTGCTGAAATTAGCTTCCCTGGGTCACAGACTACCATTCAAAGAGTGATTACAAACTAAAGAGCTTTTCCCCAGTCAAGGAGGGGAAATAAATGCCATACTTACAGTATTTTAGCAACTCTTGCCACTGAGAATTTATTGTCTCAGAACAATGAAAATAAATGCAAAATAACTCAATTGATAAATGCAGGGTACAATCTGTAGAGAAAAAACCAACCACCCCAAAAGCAGAATAAAACCTATTTCTCTGGAGCCTTGCCAGCTCCTTCCTGAAACACACTGATTTTGGATGCCTTTCAAGGCCACCATCTCACCTGTTGTTGCAGTGGTCTGGTAGCAAATGTGTTTGACTTCACAGTTTCAGGTCAAAAATATTTCTTCTGCAAGCATGAGTAAACCAGAACCCAGAGACTTCTCAGCTCTCACTTTGTGGGGATGTTGTGAGACTTTTTTCCTACATTATTTTCTGACTCTGTAAATTTTCTGGGGGGGATGTCATCAGTCTTTGGCTCTGAGTGTGCACTGTGCCTTCAACTACCAGGACCCAAAACTTATGGTACCCTCAGTTACAGAAAAAAAATCCAAATTATAGCTCAGATGTAGAAACACTCTTCTTTTCCTCTTGTGGGTAGCAATTGTAAAGCTACAATTAACCTCAATTAATAGGAAGGGTAAACTTTCTACAAGAATATGCTGTTCAGATGTTCTTGGTGAGAGCACTTGGCACTGCTTCATCTCTCTGAAACAGGGAGCTCTGCTGGGGTGAAAATTAAAGTGGCTAAAGTTTAATCCAAGTGCAAAGTAGGCTTTTTTCCCCCTATAGGAAAAACAATCCTGCCAATAAAAGCTACCTGGAGAAGCTCAGAGTCTGTTTGGATCCTGAGTGCATCCCTGCCCTGAAGAGCCTCCCGAGACCCCCATCCCACACCCTGGCCACTGCCACACTTCAGCTCAGGCTGAAGTCCTTGGTTCTTCCCTGAGGTCTGGCTCAGTCCTGCTGTGCCCAGCTCCAGGGGACTCCCCGGGTTCCTGACCCCCAGCCTGCCCCACCACCACACATTTGTGTCATTTCTGCTGATCTGGGCTGCACCCAGAGCTTGGGAGTGCCACCAGCCCTGCCCAGCTCCTGGAAAAGTTTCTGCAACCCCTACCTGAGGCAGCAGTGCAACAATTGAGCTCTTTTCCCTTGCTCTCACTGTTCCTTCCTCCTATTAGGGAAAAAAATATTCCAAACTACCAACTTGCACTCCACCCACAAGATTGGTGGAACTGACAAAAAGATCAAGGTCACAAGAGATAAAAATTTGGGGAAAATTGCTAAATCCAGTGCAGAACTGTCTCCTTTATAGTTTCTACTGTATTAAGATCACATTTTCAACCCATCATGTCTCCCTCACATCCCTTGAGATACATTTTATATTCTATATCCAAAAGCCATTTCCTACTGGCTTTGTCAGTGTAACAGCTGTAGTAATTACTCAAAAAATAGCACTCCATGCACACCATTTGTATGGGTTATGTGTCTATCCCATACGCCAGCAATATGTACCTTTAGTTGAATCTTTTTGCCATCAAGCCAGGCTGCTAATTACTTGCAAATACTAATGAACTTCTAAACAGTGCTGCCCAAAGTAAAATACACTAGACCATGCATTGTAGAAAAGAATAAATTACATCCCTTGAATTCAAAGGCTTTGACATCATAATATTAGATTTTTAGTTTAAAACCTCCCTGTGCATCTGAAATTAATTTATGTGTATTTGAATGTAACTTGGCTTTTTAGCTGTATATTTTTGAGGGGACTTCATACTGCCTTGTGTTTCATACAATTGGCTCAGTGTGAAGGAAGGAGAGCAAACACCATATCACTACCTGAGATCAGGTGGCCTTTGGCTTGGGCATGTCCTCACCTAACATAAAAAGGCACAGCAGAAGATCTGAGTGAAAGACTGAAAGGATAAAAAGTTTCAAAAATAAGAGGATACATTCCATTGCCTTATTTTCCCCTTAATTTATTTTTGTATTCCCAAATTCCAGAAATATGTGTCCTGCACCCCTCTTCCCACTTAATCCTAGCTCCATACTCATCCCTACTGGAAAGAACGTTTTCCTCAGCCACAGTGCTGCATATCCAGGTTAAAACTAATCACATTTGTCAGGTGAGATTTCAGTGCTGGCTTTAAGCATATGTGAAACCATGGCCTCGTTAATCAGCAAATTTTACCTAATTACCAGAAGCCACAAGGGATGATCCTGCTGCTGTAACATTTCCCAGCTCCCATTCCCAAGCTCTGTGGGTTGTGTTGTCCCCTTCCATCAGGCTTGTGACCCAAATACCAGCACACATGAACAAACTCCCTTCCCCCTTGAGACCCGGTTTGTATCTCGGGCTCCAGCTCACAAATTACTGCTGATCTGCAGTGAGATCTGAACAGATCCTTCTGCAGGTCTGGCAGCCCTGCACCTCATTCCACCCGGGGCCAGGAGGCAGAGGGAGGTGCAGGATCAGGGTGGGAAGGTGCAAACAAACCCAGGCCCCTCTTGCAGTGTTGCTCCCTGATCCCCACTACAGGCAGCACAGCTGAGGAGAAGCCTTTGTTTCCCACTTGGAAAATCTGTTCCATTGAGGATTTCAGAAAACAGAACCATTTCATTCCAGCTCAACTCCATGGCTTGGGTTGTGCTCCTCTGACAAGCCATTAATCTCTCTGACATACACAAGGATCCACACAGGAGAGGAAGAGCCTTGCTCCTGGGCTACTTGGGAGACAACACAGGCCCTTATCACCCACCCAGCAGAGGAGGGCTGACAATGGCACATTTTCTTCTAGAACAATCTACTGCAGCCATTTCCCCCTGCTAAGGAAACAACTGAACTATTCTGAAAGGTTAGATTGGACTACTTATCTAAAAGAGATGAAGAATAGATTTTAGTCTTCTGTTATCTGTTTCCATGAGAAAATCTCCATGCTTGCCCCAGAGTTCCCTTTTGTGTCTTGTCTAGACTATCATAATAGATCTGACAATTGTTTTTATTACATAACTTTGGGAAACAGATTCAGAGAACTTGGTTAATAGAAAAATTCTGCTTTGAATAAGATAGGACAATGTGTGGCTTTTAAAAAACAAACCATGAATGCCTCTATTGTTGGTTTGCTTTCAAACTTGATTTCTCAGTCTGAAAAAAAAAAGCAAAAGCCATTAAATATATTTTAGATTGTGCTAAACAGTAATATCCATAGGAAGATTTCCTTTTCCTACACTTCTTCCTATGGATAAGAACACAGTGGAATTCTTGATGCATGGAAAAATAGGATTTGACCTTAAATTGCTGTTCCAGATGATAGTAAAGTGATAATCCCAAACCAACACCAGATAAAACTCATGGTCACCAATTCACCAAGTTAATATCTGAAATCATCAGGGCTGGCCATCCTGCCAGTCACTCACAGCTAAATGCTCTGAAGCACTTGTATCATCCTTTGTCATGACTTGCTCCTCCAGGCTGGATGCACTCCATGCTTTCAGGAGTGAGGTGTAATAAATCTCTGTAAAGCAGTTTTGTTGCATTCATGGCCATGATACTCCACTATCTCCTGAAGAAATGCCCTCACTGTGCCTCTGAGCTGCACAGCAGACACAGGCAGCCTTACAAGACATGTTGTATTACAAATAAGGCTGATTAAGATGTGGTTTCTGCTAAGCACCTTCATATTAAACTATTTTTGGTGCTATTTTGACTTCCTCCACAGTTCAACCTTCCAGATTACTTCTCTGTCCTGCTTTCCAATTGGAAGGGATGGAAAAACTTGTTAGTGGTGTTAAATGGAACAGAGATTCCTGCTAATGGATTATTGATCATACTTGAGTGATCTTTAGAGTATCACAAGCAGAATGCCTTTCTCCCCTCTGTATAAGAATCTAATATTAAAAATATTAGCATTACCTGCTGATTATTTTCATGAGGGAAAGCATTAAGCACAAAGCCCTCCTCTGTAAGAGGAGGTAGCATCTCTATTTTTAACCAAAGATTTTGTAGGGTATTTCATCAAACTCAGAGAACTCCACCAAAAAAAAAGGCAGTATGAAAGTTCTCCACTACTCAGCCATAACCACGAGATTGTTTGGCTGAAACACATCACAAAGTAATTTGCTACCTCCCCACAATACCAATTTTAAACAGAGCAAGAATGAAGGGCTTGGCAGATGAAAAGTGCCATTTTATTTCATGTACGTTGTCCTAGAAACCTTTTTCAGCTTTGTGGGTTGTATCTAGCAGGCATCTTGTAATCAACCCAAAGTCCTTTCCCATCTACAGACTAGGACATATTAGATTTGGGTTTAAAGCTAATTTGATATTAGGTGACACCTAACTAAATTATAGCATTTCTTTCCTACAGCTGGAGTCAAATGCCAATATTTAGTTTCACTTTTTATAAAGTCAGTTTTCAAAAATAACTTAGGCAACAGGCTGGTCAAAAAATTATATGTAAATATAGATCTTCATCTAAGATCCTGCCAGGGGAAAAAAGTCACCAAACTGGAGGCCCTATAAAAAAAATACTCCCTGTTTTCAACTAAGTCTGTAACGAGGTTTGAATGGTTAAAGGCAGCCCAGGTTTGCATCTGCACAGCACTGTCACACTGTGCTAATCCAGCCCTCCACCCTGGCCCAGACAGCTCCCTGGAACACTCACAGCACAACACATGCTTCTAATTACCCATTTCTCTGTGCAGGCAGCTCTCAAGACCTGCATTTCCCAAATGGTTGAAGTCTAATTCCCCAGGAAGAAAACACGTGCAGCATCTTTGCTGCAGTCCTGGAAGGAAAGAGGGAATGACAAAAGCCTGGCCCTCCACTCAGACAAATTGCTCACCTGCACCAGCATCTTTCACATTTTGGGCAGTAACTTGGAGGTGTTTGGACCAAATCCTTCCTAGCAGGGGAAGTGAAGCTGGCATTTGCCAGGGAAGGTGTTGCTGATGTGCCCCTCAGAAGTGGGGTGACCTCTGTGACACCAGGGATGTGTGGCAGCTCTGTGGCAGCCCTGTCCTTTTCAGCCCGGGATGCCAAGTTTCTCTAACCCACCTACAAAGTTGCTTATTGCTGCCTGAACACAGCGCTTGCAGGGATGCTCCCTTCAAATCTCATTCTCCAAAGGATGCTCACAGGGGAAAAATGATTCTAAGGATAGAAATATGGGTTTTTTTTAGTTCTAATTTTTCCTTCACGGTGGAAAAGACCAGCCACAAAGGAATGTGATCAAAGACTAAGTTTAGTCACAGGTATGACAGAAGAGAGCAGCAGTTTAAAAATACAGCTTGCCAAAGGCTGAACAATAATTTATGGACTGAAATGAGTGAAAAACAAGTAAAGCTTAAACAGAAAAAACCTCATACCTAAAATCAAGGAGTTCACTGTGAAAATATGAAAAAAATAATAACCAAGAATCCTAAGGAACTGGGAGATGGTTGTGTACATACTATGTACATTCAAAAAGCTACAAATCTTCAAAAAGATTTAGAAGAATGTGACAGCTTTTTCTTCAACAGTGTTATTTGCCCAAAAATGAAAACTGCATTTTCCTCCAAACTGTTTCTTAGTATCACCTCTCCAAGAAAAACCTAAATAGTGATTTGGTTTCTACTCCTTCCATCCTTCTACCTCTTTATTTGCCCAACATAAAGAAGCTGCTGATTTCCAAAATGAGCAAGCTAAGGGAGCTTGTTTTGGAATTACAGCCCCATGTTCATCACTTGAGTAATACTTTTTAATCTCAAGGCTGTTCACTATAGCACTGGGAAGGGATAGCCAAGCTGTACATGTGACAGCATGGAAGGTAAAGGCAGTGCATTAAAAACACCTGCAACTGCTGAGGGACAGCTTGGAATTTACCCTCAGTTATAAAGCTGAGACTGGCCTGAGAGAAATCAGTTATAAAACAGTCTCACTTGGAGCTATAACCTGCATTTTATCCTGATGTGTTTATGAATTTGGCAGCCCCCAAAGCCACTGATTATCATGGAAGTGACACCTACCACACTGCCATTAATACCCTGGCACTCACATCCTGTGAGCCACGATCCCAGCCACAGGAGGCTCACTGCTGCTCCAGGAGGGGCATTACTGTCACCTGTGGATATAAAGTGGGTTTTGTTCAGTTTAAGTCGGATTAATGACTGAAAGTTCTCATGCCTACTAAACCATAGAGAGGACAGGGCTCCACCAATCTTGTAAATATCAAGACTTTACTAAAGACAAAACAATAATCTAAAAATCTTTAGTTGAGCTATTCCTCAGTTGCCATCTGGAGTTATGGTACTTCTTAGAGAGAGAAGATTATTGCTTCAAAAGCTGAAAGATCAAGTAATGTCCCAAATAAAGACATTATCACAATGAAATCAGCAGTTCCATTTGAAATACAAAGTGGACCTAAGCAACAAACAATTGCCCAGAGACAACTGTTAGATTTAACACTGTGTAAAGTTTATTGGGGAGAATCAATAGTCTCTGCCAATGGCATTTGGAGCACTGACACTATGGAATATTTTACCTCAGATTCCTCAATGTTACTGTTTGATTGCTATTTTGGAACACAAATCCTATTAATGTTCCTATAAAAACCCAAACCCTTTAAAAGTTGCAATGGCTTAGACCAAAATATAAAGCTATGAAATTGTATCAAAAGCAGGTATTAAAAAAAAAAAACACAAAAAAGCAAAAAACCCCAGCACTAATGAACGTTTCAGAGATGAACAGATCTGGTTTAACAAAAGGGTGACATCTTGGGGTTTGCCTCCTTACAAGACTTTATTACCATGGCTTTATGGCAGTCCCTGAGTCAGCAGAACAGCTCTGCTGGGACACACAGCAAACTTCACACCATCTTCCTGACAGTCACAGCACCACAGAAACTGCTTCACAGCTGCACTCTCTAGAATTGTTCCTAGAGCTGAGCCTGACAGAATTTGTGCCAAGCTTATTGCAGTTAAACAGCTCTTGAAGAGCAGCTGATTTCTCTTAAGTTATGAGTATTATTTTATAGCTCCATAATGCAAAAGGAGTATTTATATCTCACTGTGCTCACTTGTTTACATTGAGTCCCACATTAAAGACTTTTTCCAGTAAAAATTTTCTAAACTCACTTATTGAAACTTTTCTAGAGGAAGGGGGAAATCTCTTACCTTTGCCTTCTGACCTCATTTCAGCACCAGCACAATTCACATGAATATGGCAAGCAAGGTTTGGCTAACAGAAGACTTCAGTTATCAGTGAGACACCAAAAGATGGCATTTTTAAAAGTCTGCAGATGGAGAATTTATTCCCATCTATACTGGAGAATATAGAATGGTTTTTCCCAGTGTTTTTTTTTCCAGTTCCTTCTTAGAATCTGTTTTTCATGGATTTGTACATGCAGTGAAAAGTTATTTTACAGTTTAAAGTTTAATGCCTAAACCTGAGAGCTATTTTAATTATCTCAAAATATTCATCAACTGACTAACAGTTCACAACTTTAGGAAGTTTATTGATGAATAAATCCCTATCTGGCTTTTCCTTGCTCATGTTTTACACATTTCATACCTTTACTCTCTCAAGTGTTAATCACCAGCCCTCTCTGAAATTGTGCCCATCTGTTTAAAACACATTGATAATGAGATACCCAGGTTCAGTTAAAATATTCTATGAGTGCTCCTGCAATGACTTGAGGCCACTACCCTGCTGCTGTCCCAAGCAATGCCCACAGATACTCCCAAATTGTGCTGTCCTTTCCTTTGCCCTGTCACCAAGCAAGGGAATGTTTAATTTGCTCTCCACTTTCTCCCTCAGCTCTATTTTCCAAGTTTTCCCTTGGACTGAACTTCCTATTTTTTCCCCCCAAGGACACACAAGTTTTTATTTCTCCTCTCCACTCACTTACATTCAATTTCCTGTTTCCAAGACTTTTAGGTTATGTTGTATTATTTCTTCATACTTGTGTTTGTAACACCTGACTTATGATCATCTGCAAATGCTGTTAATAGTCTTCTTACATCCAGCTTCTCTGAAATCATTGATCTGGGACATTCATCAAAGCAGACAGTTGCTTTCTTCCACCTAAGAATAAATGAAATTAAATGCAAAATTTGTTTGCCAAAGACATGGTAAAGGTGGAGTCAAACAAAAGTAATTAAAGAATAAAAAAAATACATTAGAAGCTCTCCCAAAAATAAAAACAAAACAAAAATGGCAGCAGATGTTCAGTGAGAAGAGGGATGCTCAGGCAGGATTAGTTCTGCCATTTCTAGAATGACGCGAGGCAAGAGTGGAAGGACAGAACAAATTCTCTGCATTCCTTTCATTAGCCAAACACATTTCCTGGTCCTATCACGTCAATAATCCCAGAACCAAGTGGGACAGCTGCAGGAGAAAGTGGAAACTACAAGGGATCTTCCCCTGCTTTGGGAAGCAAGCTCTGGCAATGGGCACAGCGCGGTAAAGTGAGAGCTCCGCAGTCAGGACACGCCCCCCATAAAGGCAGGGATGGGGAAAGCGCCTTTCCTGAAGGATGAGGAGGCTGGAGCTGTTTACAAAGACACCCGACATTCACGGATTGTTTCAGTTGTGTGCTGCCCAGACATCCCTGAAAATTTACAGCTGGCAATTTCCTCTGAATGCCTCATTCCTTTCACTGCAGCCTCACCCAACACCTGCCTTCTCTTTGCCTTATTTCCCCAGCTCTATTTTATCCTCTTCCCTGCTCTTTCCACTTACAAGTCCTACTTCACCAGTCCAGTAATTATGATACCAGCATGATATTTTTCTCTTATTTTTATGCCTCCTCCCTCAGCTTTCCCAGATGCACAACCTCTAATGATGACACACCACCCAAGAAAACCATTCTGTTTCTGACAAACCAAATTGACCACAGCTGAAGATGACCTGCTAAAGCAAATTCACAGGAAGAGTGTCCAAAAACAAACAAAAAAAAGCTTTAGAGAGTAAAAAAAACCTGCATAAAAGGTAAAAGGAAGAGCCCTCTAACTCCAGGGTGAAAGTTAATAAGCACTGCTTGCCTACCCACATAGCCTTTATTCTGTGACACTCTCAGACCTGGTGGCCCATCCCTTCACCCCTGAACAGGGACTAGACAATTCAAAATTCATTAACTCTCCCAAATTGTGGGGCCCCTGTGAAGAACAAATAGACCACAAAAGCTCAGTTACTTAATTCTGCTCACATGGCACCCACTCCCTGCTTTGCTTTGTGCTACTGGGTCTCCCCTCACCCTTTTTTTCCAGGCTGAAGAAGCCCAGCTCCCTCAGCCCCTTCTCTGCCTTGAAGATGGGCTCTGTTGGACCTGCACCGGGTTTTCCACATTTTCTTGCAGTGATGGAGCAAACTCCAGGCATGGTGTGCCAGATGCAGCTGCTGAGTGACCAGCAGAGAGAAAGAATCACTTCACTGGATGTCCTGGTTGTGCTCCTTTTGATCCAGCCTAGTGTGCAGTTAGCTTTTGTCACTACCAGGCCACACTGCTGACCTGAAACCCAAGCAAATTTTTCTATGGATTGCAGCAAGGCTGAAATACCAGACTGAACATCTAATAAAGGAGTCATCAAACAGGGAACAGTGGCAACAAAACAGCAAGCACAAGCTTACAACAGCTCCTGATAGCATGTGTGGGAGAAAAGCTGTGAGCAGAGGCACCCACCCTGCTGAAACAGCTGCTTTTTACTGCCTGCCCGAGTTCCTGAGGCAGCCTTCACCTGGCTCCTTGCAGAAGGGAGGTGGGAAGAGTTCAGCTTTCCCAGGGCACAGCTTGCAGGAAGATAGGAAGGCTATTTCTAAAAAAAAATAAAAAAAAATTAATGTGTTATTTGACATAACAGCGATGAGGCAGGAACCCTCCCCTACTCAAGCACAGGATTTAGCAAACAAACTTCAGCAGAGCCAACCCCTGCTGTGTTTGTTACTCCTGCAATTTATTAAAACCACATTGCAATCTGGGCACTACCAGCACCTGATGAAATGGTGAAGCTGCATCTCCTCCTAAAGTAGTTAATATTCATTTAAGAATCTGATTTAAGGATTTAGACTTCTCTCTTACATACATGCACACACTAAAAAAAAAAAAAAGCAGAAGTGACCCTGCTGCACAAGCAGAAGGAGTTAAAAGAATCTGACTTTTTGGTCTCTTACATCAGTTTGTTTTGAACACCAGAGCTAGCTAGAACATCAAAACACACATAGGAACTGTTTATTCTACGTGCTAGAGTTACAGCCCTGCTTTTAACCCACCAGCAGCTCGCCGTGCCCGGCCATTCTACTGGAATCACTTCCAAATTCAATCCCAGCAGCTCCAGTGCTATCTTCAATTACAGTCACTCTGCAGAGGCCAATCCCCCAGAGCAACACCAACAAGCTGAATTAAACAAAGCACTGTTACCACCCTCACTCAGATGTTAACAGGATGCAGCTCCTTTTAGGCACGATAAAAAGGAAAAGAGACCATTCACATTCCAGCTCTCCAAGCCTTAAATCCTGCAGAAGTTTTCCCAAGAAACTTAACAGAGGAAGAATTAAGTGCAGTATTACATCACACAGGGTCTGATTTGGCACCACACCACCTTGCATCCACGGGGATTCTGCCCAAAACACAACCGTGTACATGAATACAAGATTTCCCCAGCTGCCCCAGAGACAAAGTAAAGAAATCACATAACACACCCCACAAAATGAAGACTGAGGAACTGGAATCCCCACAGCACCTCTAGAGCTGGTCAGGCAATCAGAACAGAGTAAGTATGTGTAATTGTATTTATTTATTCGAGTGTGTTATGGTTTTCATTGCACTGGCAATCTTTTGGGGATGACTACAGATGCCTAACTTTAAACTGCTGCATTCCACAGAAGGTATGGATTAAAAAGACCCTATGGAAAAAAAATACAGGTTTTGAGCCCCATCCAGCAGCCATGTGGCTGAGCACACAATCTGTAAAGTTAGAAAGCCAACAAAGGCTTCAAAAACATAAAGTGTCCTTCTCATGACTTATTAGAACAGCACAGCTCCTGCCTGCTAGATACAAACTTCACACCAGTGGTAATTTAGCCACTGCTCCCCAGCAGTCTACATACCTCAAAACTCTATTTTTCCTTTTAAAGCTTTAAAGCAAAAGTGCTTAAGAATCCCTGCCATACTCCCAGCCATAGCACAGGTAAACACCACATCAACAAAGCTACAGAGAAAGTTTCCTCTGGAAATCACCCAGAGGGCATTCCACAAATCAGAAGTATCACTCCTACAACAAGTTTCACTGACCAGTGTAATGCCATCCCAAAAACAAAGTAACTGCTCGAATTGAAGTGATGAAAAAGAAAGTTTGTTCCTAGAAGGGCATTTAAATACTTCCTAATAGAAGCCTCCTCATAGAAGTGAGTCATAAGTTTCTACAGCTATGGCTTTTTCAAATGAGGAGGCAAGACTGAAGGAATGCATCTGTAGGTACATTCAGTGGCAGCTTTTCCACGTGGAGGTTGGCGAGCACGTTCTCTGCTCCTTCAGGCAGCGATGAGAGGAGCAACCACAGCGTGCTGAGCTTGTGCCGCCACAGGAAAGCCCCAAGCTCACCCCTGGTTACCTTCCATGCCTCACACAGCCCAGACTTGGATAAACCTAAAGCTAGCCTTGCCTGAAGCACGCTTCGGAGGGCAGCTGCAGGAACCGGACACACATCGTAAAGGAGGGGACACACACCTGAATCAGTTTGCACAGGCTCTGCTGGAGAGCACAGCACCGCTGCGGTAAGGGACGGCAAGCACCCACCGAGGGCTGCTGCTGCTGACGGGGCCCGTTCTGCAGCCGAGATCTGCCCCACTCCCTCCCGGAGAGGGACCCGTGGGGTACTGCCCGCCATTTCCACACAGCGGCTGCCCCATCTCCCTCAGAAACAGCGCCTCAGCGCGAACAGGACAGAGCTGGAACCCCTTCCCCTCAGGGGCCAACTGCACGAACCTCCTTCCCTCACGGGCCAGCATGCCCGAGTCCCTTCCCCTCAGGGGGCAGAGACCTCAGACCCCTTCCCCTCACGGGGCAGAGACCCCAGACCCCTCCACCTCACGGGGCAGAGACCCCAGACCCCTTCCCCTCACGGGGACCGGCCCCTCACGGGGCGCTCGCGCCATGGCGCCTCAGGCGCGCGCCCGGGGGCGCCCAACGGCCGCGCCTTTCCCGCCCCCTCCCGCCGCAGCCCCGAAAGCCGCGCTCAGGCGCGCGCGTCACGCCGCCGCCGCCACCGGCCAATGAGAGCGCGGCCAGCCCTGCGCCCGCGCTTTGCGGACAGGGAGGCGGGGCCTCTCTGAGTGACAGCGCGGCTCGGCCTATCGGGGAGAGGCGGCCCCCCCCCTTAGCGCGCAAAGCGCTGCTGGAGAGGGGGCGGGTCCCCTCTGCTCGCCCCCCCCCGCCGCCGCTCGCTCCCCCCGCCCATCCGAGGCGCGCAGCGGATTGACAGCCCGCCAGACCAATCGGCGCGGCGGCCGCCTTCGCGGCGGCACATCGCGGGGCCAATGGGCGCGGCGGATGGGCGGGGCCCCCGAGGTTTCCAAACGCTCCGCGGCGCCATGGGCTGAAAACTAAACCGAGATGGAATCTCCCAGTCTGAACCGGTTTGAGCCGGTTCCGAGCCTGTGGCATTAGGAGGGGGAGACGCGCCGCGCTCAGTCCCCGTCGCCGCCGCCGCGTGTGTGACCTGCTCGTAGGGGACCCGTAGCTGAGGGGGCGAAGTTTAGTGCGAGCCGCGGGGGGGGCGGCGGGAATGGGGGCGAACTGAGCGCCGGGCGGGGAGGGCGGCAGCCGCAGGGGCAGCGAGAGCCGGCGGGGCCGGGCCTGGGCGGCGCGGGAGGCGCAGCCGGCTAGATCCCCCCGCACCAGCGAGGCCGGAGCGCCGCGCCGGCCGCTTTCCCGGGGCTGAGGGGAAGGCGCGGAGCCGAGCGCGGAGCCCCGGGGGCCGCTGCGGGCGCCTGGTGCAGCCAGGCCGGGCACGCTGCGAGGGGAGGAGTGGCGCCACTAACCCCGACCCACCGCCGAGGAGGGAGCGCTCGCCTTTCCCCCCACCTCCTGCCCTGCTGGTTTTTTTCCCTCCTTCCGTGCTGATTTTTTTCCCCCCTCCTTCCGTGGTCTTTTTTTTTTTTTTTTCTTCCCTTCTTCTTTTTTTGGGAGGGGGTTATTTTTGGTGGTCTTTTTTTATTTTCTTTTTTTTTTTTTTTTTTTTTCCTCGTGGCGCGTGGTGGTTAGAAACTTGGCTCGCTCGCCCCTACTTTCTGAAGGAAGAGGCTGTGAGAAACCCCTAGGTAAGCCAGGGTTGTGGGGGGGTCGCGATGGGCAAGGCGGAGGGGGCAGAGGGGGGGTATTTTGGGGGGCAGAACGGGGGGATGCCCCCGTGCAGGGGGCCCCAGAGCCTGGCCTGTGCTGGGAGGGATGTGATGGAGCCCGTGGAGAAGCCCTGAGGGGCGGGGGTGCGCTCGGATGGGGTTCGGGGTGCGAGCATCCCTGGCCCGGCCGAGCGCAGCCGCGGATGCTGCGGGGGATGCTCCTCGTTGGGAGGGGGCCGGGCAGGCTGGGATCGGGCACGGGCAAACCCGGCGACATAATCTGCAAATTATTAGGAGTGGAAGTTTCCAGAAATATTTTTTTTTGTGTGTGTGTGCGTGTGTGTCTGTGCAGCAGTATTGAAACGTCCGCCTGGATCACGTGGGGAGCCCTGTATAGAGCGCAGGGCTGGAGCCCAGGGGAGGAGGAGGAGGAGGAGGAGGGAGGGGCTGCGGGGCCACCGCGCTCCGCAGGGCCCCGGCCCGCCCGACCCACCGCCCGGGCCCGCTCCCCGCCGGGAGCCGGGGCCGAGCCGGAGCGGGAGCCGGGGCGCTGCCCGCCCGGGAGCCGGGGCGCTGCGGCAGCCGCCGCGGAAGGGCCGCCGTGCCGGGTGGGTGTGAGTTATTTCCAGCCGAAAAGCAGCGCTCCGAGGTGTCGGGCGGATGCCGCTCGATCCGTCTCGGCCTTCTCCTTCACGTGTGCGTGTGTGAGGGAGCGAAGGGAAGGGGCGGTTTCGTTGCCATTGCTGGCGTGTGCGGTGTGATGCCGACGCGTTTGTGGTGCGCTGCGTTTCAGAGGCGCTCGCCCCTCCTGGGTGGGATTTACAAGTGATGCAGCTAATTCCTTGGAAGAGGGAGGCACTTCATTTGCATTGCGTGCTTGCAAATGGGGCACGGTGACTCTCTTCCAGGGTGGGTTTGCTATTTTTTTAGTCCCCATTGAGCTTTAAATATCTGGGTTAAAGGTGCTGTAGGATTCATGGTAAATGCTCAGCGTTTCTTACTACTAAGTGCCTGCTGTTACTCCATGCCAAAATGAATCGGGTCTGCCACAACAGGCTAACTGTTGTGTTAAAGGTCCAGGGTCATCGAGAGTTGGGATAACTGTGTAAACAGTGCTGGAAATGCAGTTCTTTTGACCTTCGGTAGATGTCACATTCTTGCTGTGTTGTGGTTCAGATTTTTTTCTCTCGTTTGGTTTTTATTTATTTATTTTTTAACTTTTTTTTTCTTTTGTTTCCGTTTATTGAGGGACTGATCAGTGGTGGTTCTTGGAGCCGAGGCTCAAATCCGCTCCCGAGTTGAGGCATGGTGGGGGAGGGAGAAGTGTAGGAGTACAGCAAATCAGAGATTATGAGCTTCGTGTGGGTGCAGGGTTAGGAGGGGGAGATGGAGCTGCTCGCAGGTGCTGCTGGCCACGGGGCCGCCATTTCTGTGTTTCGGCTGCCGAGGTAGGTAGGTCATTTCCAAGATAATGCTGGGAGTGGCGAAGGGCCCTATTCAAAACATTTCCTTTCTGCTTCCATGTGTTGAATAACTTCTCTCGGTCACGCTGCTCCTCCTGAGAGCCACGGAAAGAGGCTCAGGTCTGCAGGGAATGGCCCTGCCTGGGGAGCGGCTGGTGCACCACGTTTGTTGTAGTTGGGAGCCGCTTTCCCGGCCCGGCCGTGGAGGCCAGATGGGGACAAAAAGGGGCGTGCCCGGGAGCATTAACTGCTCTGAGCCTCTTGGTGGGTGCAGCTTCCTTCCAGCGGTGCTGCTCGCTGCCCCTCGTGTGCCAGGTGACATTTGCTGCGTCCTCCCGAGCCAAAAGGGTGACATGAAGAATGAGGCCAGCCTTTTCTGCTGCTGTGCTTCTCGCTTAACATCACAATTTTGAAAACATTAGGAGTTGAAGGAGGGAAGAATAGACGTGGAGTGTAAATTTTAATTTATTTGGTTCCCTACTTGATGTTTATTTTCTCCTGGTTTTACAAGAACATGTTGTAAAAAGATTTGACTGGATGTTGAGATGAAGCCCTTAAAATGGTTG